TTGCAAATGTTTTTGGCTCTAACCTCTTTTTAGAGTCACAGACCAATTTCTAACCATCTGCTAGATAACTTCACCAGTATGTTACTACAACCTCAGTTTTCACATAGCCAAACTTGAACACAAACACCACATTCCCCACAAACTTCCCAATGTTGGTGACTGACATCACACTCTAGCAGGTCACTGAAGCCAAAATGTTCAGAGGTCTTTTGAATACATTCCCTTCTCTTGTGCCACACAGCCAAAGTCACCAACGCCTGTCAAGTCTACCTCTCCCCAAAATTTGTTCCCTCTTCCTCAAAACCCAGCCATAAATTTAGTTTAAGCATTAAGCATCCATTCGCAGGCTTGGATTATTGCACTAGGCCTGTACCAGCAAACTATTCACGTCCCTTCCAGGCCTGCCATCCCTTTTCAAGCAATTTTCTGTACTGCCAGGAGAATTACTTTTCTAAAATTAGCTTAAAAACTTTTGATGACTTCTCACTGCCCTGAAAATGTGAATTTCTTACTTAGCATGACACAAAAAGGGCACAACAGTTTAGTTTAGAGTCTGTTTCAGGCGGAATTTCTCACCACCATCCCTCAAATACCCTCCTCTAGTCTTCCCCAATCCCCAAAAGGCGGCGCATATACTTTTACTCCTTTGTGTCTTTGCATATCTACCCCTTCTGCCCAGAATGCCTTTCTCCCTTGTCTGCTTCAGAAACTGCCCCTTATCCTTTTAAGACCTTTTATCTTCTCTATGCAACCTTCCTAGATGTCTCCAGCAGAGACAGTATCCTGTGGCTTGTGCTATCCCACTTAGGGTTACCAATAAACAGGTGCTCCATTTGTTATCTTGTTGGAGCATCTTAAAACATAGTTTATTAATGGAAAACTTGTGAGGAAATGACCTATCGTTAACAAAGCATCTCACTGAACAAAAGATTCACGTATTAAATACCTTCCAGTCTTTGGGATCAAGTGTTTTCAGCATGGGAAATTCTTCTAATTGCAATTCTTCATCTTCTGATTCCTCTGATAACTCTTTCTTATCCTCCAGTTCCTGAAAAGAGGCAGAAGCATTTCTGTTTCTCCTCTTAACAAAAGCTTCAAACCATCTTCCCACAGGTTCAACTTGACAGAGTGTTGAGGCTGTGATTGAAAGCGTTAAGAGAAGCTTCAATGCATTGCATGGAATAAATCTGTTTCAAGGCAATAAATAAGGTCAAAACAGTGATAGCCTCAGAATATAATTTTAAAACCATCAGCTAAGATAATTGCAGTAATTCAGTTAACATGAGGGTTAGCAATAAATAACCATTTCCTAGTATTTACAGACTATTCAAGAAACCCCTTCCAATTATCTGACAATATAAAACATTCATCAATGTCAACAATAAACCAATATTTTTCTGGGGATATGAGAGGAAGGTGAGGAACGGGGACAAATGTTGCAAACTGCTTTATTTTTAGGCCAATAATTGTAATAAAGCAAATAATAATAATCAGAGCTAGCCTCGTCAAAAACAAAATCTAAAAACAACTCAAAATATCTTAATTTTTAAAACCCTGAATTCAAATAGCTTTTTAAAATTTCAAGAATTCACTAGGAGTGATTTGTTCTGAAAGACAATTTTCCAGGAGCTAATGTGCTACGGTGGAACAAGCGCTGGATCTGAAATCAGAAGCGCTGGGTTTTAGTCTAGGTCAGACAATTAATGGCTGTGTGAAAAGCGTCAAAGATGTCTTCAGCTAAAATAGGAACAATATCTATCTTACATGGTTCCTTGGAAGATCAAATGACAAACCGTGAAGGCACTTTGAAAAATCACTAACTGTTGTATAAAAGTAAGACTTTATCATTATTTCTGGGAAGTAGGAGTAAATCACTGTACCTTTGTATACTAACATTTCAACAAATGTAATTTAGGTCAGAAACAAGTGTACATTTTAATTTTAATTTCATATTCCATGTGAAAGCAAAAAGCTTTACTCTGTTTAATAATAACTAGATGTAAGTTTCCCTTTGTACCTAATGGCCACAATTTTCTAAAAATAACTGACTTTTCATGTTTTTAATTGGTTTGGGAAATTAAGATTTCCTCTACTATACACAGGAGAGAATTCAAACAGTACAGGGAGTGCCAAAAAAATGCACACACATTTTAAGAAAGAAAAAAAAACTATTAAAATTGTAATAATATATACCGACAACAAAAGATGAATACAAGTCATGTGTACACATTTTTTGGCATTCCCGTATGTTCAAGAAGTACTACCATTGCGGTGTGAGTGACTTTTAAAAACATTACCTTTCACGCCATTCCCTCTAGTTGTAAGATTACACACACAGACTTCTAATGGCACAAACAACATGTGCCATGATACGTTAAAAAATAACACTCAACAAGCGTCTATATAAGCGGCTAGGTAATTAATGTAGATCACTGAAACTGGAGACTCTTACGTTTTACAATACCCACGACTGTCCGGGGCTATAAATCTATGAACCCGCAGCAGCAGGACGAGTATCACTTAATGACTGTCTTTAAAAGTCTACACGGATCTTACCAGCAGCACAGGCAATGGTTTTTTCATACTGAGTATGAGGAGCAGTGTCTGAGTAATGACATTTAAAAAAGCAACCCGGAGCAAACGAAGGAAGAAAGGTGTTAGAGCACCAGCAGCCAGGTTCTGTACGACCTCAGGCACGTGGGGAGCTCGCAGCGGGCAGTCTCTTGCTGTAGGCAAGGGGATGCTTAAAGAACATTTTTAGGGTACTGGAGGGTTCGGTTCCGAACGGCTCTGCCGGACCCATGAGTCAGCGACCGCGAGAGGAGGAGGAAACTGGAGGGGCAGAAAGATGCCCCTTCCCTTCTTCCTTCCAGTCTGGGGAAGGATTCCTGTATAGCAGGGAGCAAAAAGGCACTCGACACGGCCCCACACGTCAGGTAGCTAGGGGCGAGGGTAGAGAGACTTCGGGGTCGCGCAGGTGGAGGACTGAGGCAGGAGTGGCTGAGGCGGGACGGAGCCGGGGTTGAGTGGACACGTACCAGAGGTCAGAGCGTGGGTGATGGCGGTGCCCTGGCCGTCTGCAGCGCTCGGCAGGAGCAGCATGATGGCGCCCGGGCCAGCCCCGGGGGCGCAGCAGGTCACGTCCCGGGCGGAGGGCGCTTAGCTGTCCCTTCCAGCTCTACCTCCCGGTCCGAGCCTCGCGCCTTGGCTCTGCGACGCCCAGGAACCGGCGCATGGAGAGAACCAGTAACTACTTCCGGGATGGATTTTTCATGGTGCGGAGCCAATTCCATTCCCACCCCCGCCAACGTGTGCGGCAACTTAGTGCTTCCACTGACTCAGATCCGGCTAGGGACCAAGACTCAAAACAGAAAGGTTCCCAAATTCATCAGTTCCTGAGTAAAAAGGATTACTATTTTCCTTGTCCAAGTGCAACACGTCGGACATAATTTTCTAAAGCAGGTCTTAATATATTCTTCTTATATTACTACCACTGTCTATATTAGTCTGAACATAACTGCTTATTTTCCTGTAGTTGTACTTGTATAATAAAAAATGAAAACATTAGTATTGAGAATAGTCTATATACAGCTATAGAGAATTCTGTGTTGTGCAATCTCCAGAACTCTTTTCATCTTGCAAAACTGAAACTCTAAACCTGTTAAACAATACCCCATTTTTATTTCCCCCCACACTCTGCAACCACCATTCTCCTGTCTCTATGATTTGACTACTCTGGGTACCTAAGTAGTCATACAGTATTTGTCTTTTTGTGACTGGTTTATTCACTTAGTATAATGCTGTCACAATTTTAGTGCGTTGGAGTCTTTCCTCTTTAAGGCTGAATAATATTCCATTGTATGTATGTTTTATCCATTCATTCTTCTGTTGATTGGGTTGCTTCCACTTCTTGGCTATTGTGGATAATGCTTCTATGAACATGGAGATACAAATATCTCTTGGAGATCCTGCTTTCAATTCTTTTGGGTACATACCCAGAAATGGAATTGCTAGATCATATGGCAACTCTATTTTTAATTTTTTAAGGAACTGTCATACTGTTTTCTATAGAGGTTACATCATTTTACTGTCCCACTAAATGTGCACAAGATTTTAATTTTTCTCCACATCCTCACCAACACGTATTTTCTTTCTCTTTTTTTATAGTCACCATTCTAATGGTTATAAGGTGGTATCTCATGGTTTTGATTCTCACTTCCCCAATGGCTAGTGATGTTGAGCATTTCTTCATGTTTTTGTTGGGCATTTATGTATCTTCTTTGGGGAGATGTCTATTCAAGTCCATTCCCCATTTAAAAAAACAAATTGTTTCTTGTTTCTAAGTTATAGTTCATCATGTATTCTGGATATTAGCCCATTATCAGATGTATGACTTGCAAATATTTTCTCCCATCCTGTACATTGCGTTTTCACTTTGTGTCCTTTAATACTCAGAAGGGTCAGTTTGATTTGCTTTTTATTTTAAAATTTTTTTTTATTTCTAAAGTCTACAATTGTCTCCTAACTGCTCTCTTCCATTCTTCATCTTCCAAACTAAATTCTGTCAAAACCTGCTTTCCCCTGACTTCCTTGTGCCTGAGGATGGTACCACTTTGCTTTGGCAGCAGGCTCAAAAATTGAAACCATTTACCACCTCATCCCGAGTTAGCATCAAATTAATGAACAAACTCCTATTTACTGCACTCTATTTGTGGATCTAGTCACTATTATCGCACATCTAATATACCAGGTAGTTTACAAAAACTTGCTTAAAGCTTCCACAATCCTGAGGTAAAGGGCAAATTAAAGCATACAGAGAGATTAAAGGAGTTACCCAGGAGGGCACAGTAAATAAAAGGACTAAACCAGGATTTAAACTCAGCCAGGCTTGGTCTTGAAATCTGTTGTTCAGACAACTTCGCCATGGTGAGATCCAGGGTAAACCAATAGTCTCTTCTAACAAGGAATTCTTTCTACTCCCAGTATGTGGAACACAGACGCCAGCGAAGCCTTTCACGGCTCCCTTCGGCCTCTGGTGCGCGGAGTAAAGGGGCCCCGCGGAGCCGGCTCTACTTCCGGGGAGGAAGGGAAAGGAAAGCACCACCGGAAGCGGGGAAGGTGCTGTGTAATCGCCAGGTTGCTGAATCCTTCGAGCTCCTAAAATGCCGGATTACCTCGGTGCCGATCAGCGGAAGACCAAGGAAGAGGAGAAGGAGGACAAGCCCATCCGAGGTCAGTTGACATAGCCGGGAGCTCCGGTCTGGGATTGGGATTAGGACTAGGCTTGGCCTTGGAGGGAGACAGGATTCCTGCCCTGCGCTCGGTCCCTTTTGTACCGCTTGTGATTTAGTCCGGGGCGGCAGCAGGGTTAGCCTGCCTGCTTTCTTTGTCACCCTCACTCCGCTCCAACTTCTATATTCATTTCCCGCTGCTCGAAATATTTATTCATGTTCAGTTCTCAGGTCTTGAATAAGTCACTTGCCCTGTTTGGTCTTGGAGGCCTTGAAAAGTTCCTCCCCCTGGCGGTGCTTGGTCACTTGCATCCTCTTTCCTGTCCTTCCTCCTCCTCAAGTGTGACAGCTAGGTGCTCTCAGTGTGTAGCGAGGATCCCAAGACATATTTTTCTTTTCTTTTCTTTCTTTCTTTCTTTCTTTCTTTCTTTCTTTCTTTCTTTCTTTCTTTCTTTCTTTCTTTCTTTCTTTCTTTCTTTCTTTCAAAAAAATCATTCGTTTGACTGGATAATACATTTACGTTCCTAAAATTCAAAAGGCAGAAAACAATGCTTTGAAAAATGCCTCATCCTTGGCCGCAGCCACCCATTTATCCGCGGAGGCAACTGCTGTTGCCACTTTGCGTTGTCTTTCTAGACATTGTCTATGCATGTACAAGCAAGTTTGCATATATATATATATATATATATATTTAATTTTTGACATAAATGTAACATGCTGTACTTGTTTTTTTTTAGTCTTAATATATTTTAATGATAACTTCATATTATATAGAGTTAATGTCTGTCTGCATCTGCATAGTATCCCACTTTATTGGGTATACAGTAATGTATGAAATTATTCTTGATGGACATTTAGATTTCTTCTAATCTATTGGCCTTTATAGAGCAATGAATAACCTTGTTCATGTAACTTTTACCACATGCACAAATACACCCTGTAGAGCAAATGTTAGAAATAGAGTTGTAATTTTGATGGGGCCAAATTACTCTCTTTAGAGACTATCCCACTTTTACCGACCATTTTTGTACATGATTTCTTCCCAGTAGCCCCTTTTGTAGTCTCATCTTTAAGCCTTTTTCTTCTTTTGTTCTTTATAGGCTACTTTAAAGCATTCTTTTTTTAAAAAACAAGATTTTATTGGGGGATTGGGGGAGGGGAACAGCGTTGGGGAATCGGGGAAGGGGAACAGACAAGTTGCTGTCCTTTTGTTCTTCAGCCTAGTTGTGGAGGACGTTGCTTCACTGGCCCATGTTGACACCATTACTGCTTTCTTCCCCAGGGGAGGCAGATCAGTTGCCTGCTTCTGGATGGCCGCTCATGCTGGCTGCTGGCTACACACGGTAGCCCATGGCAACCCACTGCAGCAGGGGCTTCAGCCTAGCAGTCGTCTGCTACTCATGGCAGCCCAGCTCCAGGTTGAGCTGTTGTTCAGCATCTTAGCTGTAGAGGGCAGTGTCACTGGCCCTCATATATGGGATCTGAACTGGGGTCCTTTGGCGTCCCAAGCCAGCTCTTAGCCACCGCGCCACTCGGCCGGCCCTGGGCTCCCTATTGTTGTGTCACATCACTTTGAGGCTCTTCAACAGCTATGTTTTGGTTTTTTTTAATCCGCCTTCACCTAATTAGATAAAATATCTTTGATTCTGGGAATTATTGAATGGTCATATTTATATCATTATAACTTTGCACAATTTTTCTCACTGAACTAATGTAGTATGAATTGAACAGAAAATAATTGTTAGCTCTAGTTTCCTATGTTTGAATCTCATAAGTATTATCCTTCTTCTTTTAGCTCTGGATGAGGGGGATATTGCCTTGCTGAAAACTTATGTAAGTCCTTTCAATGTCAACAAAATATAAATGTTTTATGTTGAAATGAGAACTATTGTTGGTATTGCTCTTCCAAAATAATTACAGGAGGATGTCTAGCAGTTTATAGTAATTCTAACAGAAAAAAGTTACCTACCTACAGTTTCTATCAAGAATGATCAGTGTCAATATTCAGTGTATCTAAGTTTATACATTATTTTTATACTATTTATAATTAAAGTGTGGTATATATTGAAAGATATTTGAAATAATTTACGTAAATGTTTATTGTATTTAAAATGAATGTAACTTTAAATGTTTTTGTAGTTTAATAAATTGTTGATATCCTGATATTCTAATTAAACTGATCTTTATCTCCTAGGGTCAGAGCACTTACTCTAGGCAGATCAAGCAGGTTGAAGATGACATTCAACAACTTCTCAAGAAAATTAATGAGCTCACTGGTATATATACATATTTTATTCCGTTTTCCTCTCTTGTAATGTGTTAATTATATCACAGGAGTTGAAATACAAATGATGCTTTTTCATGAATTACAGATTTTAAAAATTATTCTTCCTGTTAAGAGATTGGATCTCACTTAATAATCGTTTTCACTACCTTTTACAACCAAGTGTAATGTTTAAACAATTAAGAAACAACATCATCCTGTAAGCAAGTAATGTTTCTGTTAGTCAAAGCCAAGGTCAGTAAACTAATAAACAAGTTTCTTATTAAATAAAAATATGATCTCACATGGTATTGCGTGAGGTAAGTGGGCTGTTACCTTGTATTTGGAAACTTTTCTTCTTGGGAACTGGAGTGGTGAAATTCTATAGCATTTGGCCACCAATCAGTGTCAACTGTAGCATTAAAATTTTGGCTTATGACGACATTAGAGCAGTGGTTTTCAACCGGGGCGGTTTTGCCTCCTCCCTCCCCCCAGAACATTTGGCAGAGTCTGGAGAAATTCTTAATTTTCATGACTTGAGGGGGAGGTGGTGCTGGTCACGTCTAGTGGCTCATGTCCAGGGATGCTGCTAACCATCGTGTAATGCACAGGACATCCCCACAACGAATTATTCAGTTCACAATGTTATAGCGCTGAGGCTTTCAAAGCATTGTTTTCTGCCTAAAGCTTGTTTTAGGGTGTTGCATTACATGTCAGTGAATTTTGTCATCTTTCTTTATGTAGGTATTAAAGAGTCTGACACTGGCCTTGCCCCACCAGCACTCTGGGATTTGGCTGCAGATAAGCAAACACTCCAGAGTGAACAGCCTTTGCAGGTTGCAAGGTATGCTCTGTGGAAATTTATTTATATCTACTTTTAGGCACTTTTTAGAGTCTTGGGTATAATGTGATAGTTCATAGAGAATTTTTTCCAAGTTCCAAGTACATAAAACTCTACAAAAGTATCTGGGGTTAAAATTTTATGCCTTAAACAATTATTCAAGAAATAAGTAAGACATAATCATTTAAAAGATTCAAATGATAGAGAAAGATACAGAGCAAATATAAAAACCTTCCTTCCCATCCTTGCTGTCACACTGTTTCTTCCTCAGACATAACAACTACTGAAAATAATTTAGTCCTCTTAATCCTGCGATGTATCTTCCTATCCCTACATCCTTCTAATGTAATTGTATTAAAATTTAGATCAGTATTCAGTATTGTTGTATTTATAGCTAAGTACACCCTATTCACAAAGAGCCAAGTAGTAAACTGTGATTGCTTTTCCTCTTGTATCACTTTTTGTTTTCCTTGTCATAATTGCCTTGTTTTTTCACTTGCCTGGTTTTTTATGTATATTATTAATTCATCACCTCAGCTCTTTCTGATTGTCTAAATTGCTCTTCAGATGCATTCGGTCCATTAGGTTTTCTGTCATGTAACCCTCAGGTGCACAAGCTGCATCACGTATTGTCTCAGGTTCATCTTCCTGAAGAAGTCTTCCCCAGCACTTTCCGACCTACTTCCATTGGACCAGTTGCCCTTTACACCTGTTGAATCACGATCATCCTGTGACTTCTTACCCTGAGCCTCCCTTTGCCTCTCTCCTATGGCTTGTGTACCAACTCTTTTTGGTTTACTTGCACCCTCATTAGGTCAGCTATATTTTCTGGTAGCTTCCTGAAGGAGGGTCATTTGGGAGGTAATATTTTGAGACCTCATATATCTGAAAATGTCTTGACTAGTATAAAGTTCTTTCTCCTTCAGAATTTTGAAGGCATTGTTTCATTGCCCTCTGCTCCTGGTATTGTTATTCTGAAGCCATTGATTCCCAATTCTGTATATGTGATCTTTTTTCCTCTGAAAGTTGTAGAGTCTCCTCTTGTTCTCACTTGTTCTGAAATTTCATGATGACATGCCTTGGTGTTGGTCTGTTTTCAAGGTGCTGGGCTCTCATGTCCTTCAGTACGGCACATTTTCTTGAAACTATTTGATAATATGTTTCTTTCCATTTTCTTGGTCCTCTGTTTTGGACTTCTATTATTTGGGTATTGGACCTTCTGGGTTGCTTCTCTAATAGTGCTAATCTTTCTCTCCTGGCTTTCCTTTTTTTGTGTGCTTTTGCTCTACTTTTTGTGAGAGTTTCTTAACTTTATATTTGAGTCCTTCTATTGATTTTTTTCTCCTGTTTCTCCTCACATGTTTTTAATTTTCAGGAGCTCTTTTTTTTCTTTCAATGTATGTGTTTTGTTTTTTTTAAAGCCCTATTTTTATATCATGGTTATATAGTATATTCTCAGTTTTAAGGAAATTAATGATAACTGGAAGGTTTCTGCTTCTTCTAAGATTTTTTTTCCTCTTTGCTTGCTTGGTGTCCGTCTTTTATGCTAGATGTGGTGATCTTACTTTAGGCTTTAGTTTTAGTGGGAGACCAAAAAGTTGATAGAAGTGCTAGATCCAATAGTGAAGCATGTTGATCCTAAGCTCCACTATAGCTTATATGGTTGGCTGTTTAGTTGGGGAGCCTTCAGTGTCAGTATCTTTAGATCTTTTCATCTGGATGATTGTTTTCCCTAGAGAAGTTGCTTTCAATCTCCTGTTGTCTCCAATTTCCAATTTTTTTTTCCAATATGGAAGAACAGTGGAGGACTAGGAAATTTCAGCAACAGGTTCACTTCTGTTTACTCACTCTTCCTTTCTCACCTCCCTACCCTTCTCATTTTCAGTAAAGCTATCACCACCACTATCCCCACCCTACCCCTTGCCCCAGCACTTCTTGAAAACTTCTGTTTTAATCTTTCCAGAATATTTTCATCGTCCCCAAAACAAACTCATACCCATTAGCAGTCCCTATTCCCCTCACTTTCTAGCCCCTGGCAACCATTTATCTACTTTCTGTCTCTATAGATTTGTTTATCCTGGATATTTGATGTAAATAGATTCATTTTATATAAATCTATGACCTTCTGTTTTTGGCTTCTTTCACTTAACGTTTCAAGATTCATCCATGTTGTAGCATGTGTCAGAACATCATTTCTTTTTTTTTTTTTTTTTTAAGCTGAGCCATCCTGCCACCTGTTGGCTGCTCAGCTCAGGCCGGGAATCAAACCGCTGTTGCTCAGAGCTCAAACTCTTGAGCGAGCTCTTAACCAACTGAGCCACTCGGCCGGCCCAGAACATCATTTCTTTTTATAGGCAAATAATATTCCAGTCAAATTACACTCTTCATTGATATTCTCCTTTTGGTCAGACATTGTTCTCATACTTCCCACTAATTGTTTAAACATGGTTTCTTTTAATTTTCAAAAAACTATGATATTTTGTTTTGTAAGACTAATGTCTAAGCTTCCTCAGGGACAGTTTCTATGGACTGCTTTTTCCCCACGTATGAGCCATACTTTCCTATTTCTTTTTGTCTCTCATAATTTGTTGATGTAAAGTGGGCATTTTATATAATATATATATAATATATATATTTTATATTATATAAATAATATATAAATATTAATATTTATTATATATATAATATTTATATAATATAATATAAGAATATGTCAGCTTTGGAAGTCAGATTTTCCCTTTCCCCAAGGTTTGTCATTGTTGCTATTTGTTGCTGGTTTTCCTTTGAAGTGTTTTGATCAGCCTCTTGTTAGCCCCAACTGGTAATGCTGCCTCAGACAGTTGTGATGTTAAGCAGTTGTCACTGATTGTTTCCAATAAATGCCCTGTGGGTAGGGATATTCATAGAGAGTGAGCTCTGAGTCAGGTCAAATAAAGACAAGTCCTGAGACTGGAACTCTTTAGCTAGCTGCCAGACAGGTCAAATAGTGACAGTTCCCTGGGGATTGGGCTTTGGGGAGCTCCAAACTCATTCTACATTCCCCCCACTGCCCACAATTCCAGAGTTGGGAAAACGTTGATTTTGACTGTTTTTGCCAGTGTTCACTTTGCTTTTAAGGAGAAGCAGATTTTCAAAGATCCTTGCTTCATTCTGGAAGTTGAGGTCCAGTATAGTATATACTTTTTCAGCTGTGGATTCAAAAATCCATATCTGTGCATACAGTGTTGACAGGGTCTGTCAGATAAAGTAGTGATAGGTACTTTCTATGTATGTAATTCTACCTCCCTGGTAGACCTTGGCTAGTGACAGGAACAGAGTCCTGTCATACAACTATGTTATAAGGACAAAGCATTCTTTACCTTACTTTCAATGTTACTTATATGCGCACTCCAGAGACTGTTTTGTATTTCCCTGTCTTTGTTGCCACAGCAATGACTTGAGTTCTTTCTAACATGAGTTGTGTTTTTGTTTTTGTTTTTCTTTAGTAGACAGTATAGAAGAAGAAAGACAGTAGTCTACTTTCTACTGTGATGTACATGGTATTACAAACTTGCTTTCATCATATCACAGTAAAAGAATATGTTTATGTTAAAAATAGCAACAACAATGAAAATGGATTTGAAGTATAAACTCAAGGAAGAATGGAAAAACACATTTATTAGTTAACATGCTGTAAGACAAGGTGAACTGTCTTCTGATAGGGAAAAGAAAAAAGAGACTAACTTAAGATATAGAGGAGTATCACTAATAAAGGAATATAGTTATGAAAATCAAGAAATTAGAGAACTCGGGCCTGTCGAGTGGCTCAGTTGGTTAAGCTCTGAGCAACAGCGGTTCGAGTCCCGGCCCGAACTGAGTTGCTGCTGAGCTGCCAACAGGTGGCAGGATGGCTCAGCTAAAAAAATAAAATAAATTAGAGAACTTCTTAATGATGAAATATTTGGGGTTAATTTTCCAGGGGAATGTGCCTTTTGAACATTTTATGGTGTGGCTAAAGTTGAGTGGACCCTGGGGATTGAGCATATTCTGTATAAAAGGATCTTTAACCGTGGCCCAGTTTCTGCAGTTCTAGTTTACACCTGCTCATTAGTGTGCTGTGTGCCCAGGAGAGACTCGAGTTACCTGAATTCATTAGTAGTGGTTTAGGTTCTGTTTGAATCAAGCCTTTTGCTGTGTTAGGTGCACGAAGATAATCAATGCCGATTCAGAGGACCCGAAGTACATTATCAACGTGAAGCAGTTTGCCAAGTTTGTGGTGGACCTCAGCGATCAGGTAGCACCTACTGACATTGAAGAAGGGATGCGAGTTGGGTAAGATTTCTATTTACAATAAATGCTCATCTTTCATTAAAGATCCCATGTCAGTTTACATCCTTGGCTTTCTTCAGAATGCATACACTGCTTGCTGTGGAATACCAAGGGGTAGTCTGGTGGGATACCGATGATCTTCTGGTGAACGTCCTTTCTTCTTCCTCCCCTTCCCTCCTCCCCCCTCTCCCCACCTCCACCGTGGCTTTTTAGGAATGGCTTCAAATGTCATAAAGTCAGTGCAGACTGTTAGAGTTGAGCTTGCGAGTGTATTTAAGGTAACGTGGTGTAAGTGGAGGAAACACTTGCTCTAGGAAAGTCATGAGGATTAAGAGAGCTAATGGAATTAATGTGCATAAAATACATGGTGATTCACTTAGAAAATTTTTTGACTGTGTTAGTGAGGCTCTTTTTTACCTTTTTAGTGTGGACAGAAATAAGTATCAAATTCACATTCCACTGCCTCCAAAGATTGACCCAACAGTTACCATGATGCAGGTAAGATACTATGGAGGGAAAAAAAATGGCATGACTTAGTATACAACTGCATCCAGCTCAAAAATTTTGAAACTTTAATAAACTATTAATATGTGGGTATGTATTAAGTTGCTAAAGTTTTTAAAACCATTTTTCAGTTGAGAAAGTCTTCATCAGTCTTTATTTTACTAGTTTGTCTCTCAGTGTCATAAGTAATACAGCAAGTGGTTCTAGGATACTGGGAAAGTATTCCATTTTTTAAAAAATTCTTATTTGCTATAAGTCTGATTTTTCTTTTAGAGTATTGGGTCTCCTCTACTGGATAGAACATTTGGACTAGTACTCAGAAGCCTGTTGCTATAGATTGTACATTTTCATCCCTCTCAGGTGGAGGAAAAACCTGATGTTACATACAGTGATGTGGGTGGCTGTAAAGAACAGATTGAGAAACTTCGAGAAGTAGTTGAAACCCCTCTACTTCATGTAAGTGGCTTAGTCTGTTGCATATTAAATTTCTTTGTATAAAGATGTGATAGCCTTTTGTGTACTGTGCACAAAAATTGCATATATATTAGGTAGCTTATTAAATTTTATATTTTCCTTAATGAAAATTTGTGAGGGGATAGAGAGTAGAGGTGTGGTGAGTTGGTAAGTTCCAGAAGCGTAAACACAAGGATTATAGTCAAGCCTATTAAAAAAAAAAGAAAGATCTTCTGTTTTAAGTGACAAAGGAAGCTGAGGTATAACCTTTAGCAATGTTAAATATGTTAGAAGTTACTGTAGAAGAAACCATGTATTTTAATGATATCAAGAGGAAATGGGCTTAAACGAAATCAAATTAAGCTTGGGAGGGTAATGGAAAACTAGGATATTAAATACCAGATAGTACTTTTGTTCTTCAAACACATGGTTTTTGTTTTTTTAACTAGAGGAAAAAAATTTGTTAAGCCTGAATAGTTGAAACACCTTTAAAAGCCATTCAGCATTATGCATTGATACGAGTCTAGTTTAGATCTTACATCTTAGAAAGTTCTTATTTAGATCAAGTATATGGATTGTGGACTTAATAATTTTGGTTTAAGTATATTGATGTAGAGGTAGTCTTATTTTGATTATACCAGAAGTATGAAGTGTAAAAACTGTCTTTCTTACAGCCAGAGCGGTTTGTTAACCTTGGCATTGAGCCTCCCAAGGGCGTGCTGCTCTTTGGCCCACCGGGTACAGGCAAGACGCTCTGTGCTCGGGCAGTAGCTAACAGGACTGACGCTTGCTTCATTCGAGTAATTGGATCTGAACTTGTACAGAAATACGTCGGTGAGGTAAAGTGATTACAATGAAAGAATATGTAGCTCTGTGAAAGATTTACAAAGCCTGGATGAAATTAAAATGACAATTCCACATTGAAAGATTTAAACCTGAAATTTTTTGATTGATGGATTGTAATTAGTGGTTCAGAAGCTCAGAAGCCACTAGTCTTCCCTTGTGGTCATTTGGAAATAAATTGTTTAAAATTTTTCATCATTATGTCCCCTACTTAGATTTGGTTTGTAAGATAAATACTCCAGAAATATCCAGTGAATGCATTCAAAACTGTACTTTCACTTTGGGGACAGCGTTTTATGTTCTACTGAGAAAGAGAGAATATAGATTGTCTCTATCTGTATGTGTACGGGTGTGTATACACACACTCATACCTGTGGGTTTTTTTCATTAGAGAGTAAGTCTAAAGCTGTATATATTGTATCTGAAACATTAATGATTGGTATACATACAATAAGAATTAGAAAAGGAGCTGCACGAGTTTAGATATACAGTGCTTTTAATTCCTTGATCAAAACTTAGAAATCAAATTCAGTGATCAGAAATACCAAGTAGTCAGATGCTTTTATTTCCTTAGGTTTTACTGATTGAAATGGTGTCTTTATTTAACAATGTTCGTTTTACTTTTTCAAGTCTAAAAGTTTTTTATTATTTCATAGGTACAGAATCATGAAATTACTTAATATTGTTTTGAGGCTAATAAGATTAATTTGATGGAATAGGTTACAAACTTCAGTTTAAAAAAAAAAAGCCTTAGGTAATAATGGTTGAGAATACTGTTAGGAATATTGAAACATTTGAGGTATAACTTACTATGTTTTAAAGTATTTTAAAGCCAACTTTGAATTAACATATTATTATTTCTCATTAGGGGGCACGGATGGTTCGAGAGCTCTTCGAAATGGCCAGAACAAAAAAAGCATGCCTTATCTTTTTTGATGAAATTGATGCTATTGGAGGTATGGTTGGTATTTTAGAGACTACGTTAGGATTGGGTTTCATGAGAGTTCTAAAATAGTATGTGTAGAGTGTTGATATGTTAATCTTGTACAAAATTTGAATTCCAACTCTCTTATGATCTCTAGCTCACTGGAGCCACAGATCTCATAAACAGCAGGGCTACACCATAAAGGAAAAAAGAAATACAGCATTGCTGTTTCTCAGTCTTAATCTTTGTACTTTCCTAATTTTATTCATGTAACACATATTTTCAAATTTAACAACTCCTAACTTGGGTACCGCTTTACTTCATGTGATAAAGCACTGGGGCATAATTTAACTGGTGGTAATTTTTCATAAAGGATACATAAAATAATGTTACTGTTGACTTCATAGGTTTGATGAAAAACAGTATTATCTGTGCGATCTAGATAAGTTATTTTAACTAACTCTGAACCTCAGCTCATCTTGTACAGGGCATGATAATTCCTGTCCGTTCATTTCTGGTTTTTTGAGAGCTTTAAAGTAAGTTTTGAATGCGATAGACTTTGAACACTCTAACTGTTCTATAGACCTTGACTACTATTATAGTCTATAAGAGTAATAATCCTTATGAAGTGGAGAAGTGTCATGTCCAGACAGTTGTTATTTAATAAACTTAGTGATGAAAATGACTTGAAAATATAGCAGACACTGTAACAGTGTGAGGACTGTGGTTAAGTTACCTAGCGTCTTGCTTTTAGACTGGATGGGCGTTGTTGGGTGGCCAGCCTGGAGTTAGTGTCTTCAAGTAGTTAATTTGAGCACAGTACATTGATGCAGTGTGGTGACTCAGGTCATTTTTATAGTATTGTTGGAATAAGCCTTGTGATGTTAGGATGCTGTGAAGCTGTGGTTTCCAAAGTGGATTGTGTATAAAACAGTATCAGAGTGAGGAAGAAAGTAGTAGAATTTTTTTTGTATTTAATTTTAATCTCATTTTTAAATTTTTTCATTTTTTTGTGTTTTATAATGTGCATAATACATTAATACAACAGTATATATTTATATAACTTAAAAGTGAAAATACATATTTGGAGGTGTTTTTTGTGTTTTTGCTATTTTGATTGAAATGAGAGACTGACATCAACCGAGAGTACTCGAATATATCCAAACCCATGTAATGGTAATTTGTTATAGTTCTGCTATATCATGGATTTAGCCTTTATTCTGAAGGACAGTTTTGAGAAACTTGGCAGAGTATGGCAGTTTCTGACATACCATCCAACACTGTTATGGTGCAAAGGTTGGGTGTGTTCTGGTGCCTAGTGCAGTGTACAGTGTGTTAAACAACGCAGGTGTTCTTGAGTGATGTAAAAAACAAAATTCCTGAAAGAAGACTAAAAAAACACTTTAGAAGAGCCTATGTTAACTAAGTCTACGATGCATCCTTTTCTAATTAGTTTTGTGTAAAACAGGTTCTTCTTACAGGGTTCACTTAAAACTTGTTCCTTGCACTGAGGGCATGGTCTGAACCAAGAAGTGCAGCACTTTTCAAGGGGTGCAGGTGCTACTCCAAGCCAATATGCAGAGCCTAGCTTCCTTTTGTCTTCTCAGGGGCTCGTTTCGATGACGGTGCTGGAGGTGACAATGAAGTACAGAGAACGATGTTAGAGCTGATCAATCAGCTGGATGGCTTTGATCCTCGAGGCAACATCAAAGTGCTCATGGCCACTAACAGGCCCGACACCTTGGACCCAGCTCTAATGAGGCCAGGGAGGCTGGATCGAAAGATTGAATTTAGCTTACCTGATCTAGAAGTAAGAAAATCATGTCATTTTAGAAAAGGGATTCTGGAAATGTTTTCTTCCTGTGATGTTTTTCCCTTGTAATATTTTTTCAATTCCCCGATTTTCAGGGTCGGACTCACATTTTTAAGATTCATGCTCGTTCAATGAGTGTTGAGAGAGACATCAGATTTGAATTGTTAGCACGACTGTGTCCAAATAGCACTGGTAGGTTGAAAGGTCTTGTTTATATTTGTTGGTCTGTTTGTCCAGGCTGCTTTAATCAGGCGTATTATTTTCTTTTTGTTTGAAAGGTGCTGAGATTAGAAGTGTCTGCACAGAAGCTGGTATGTTTGCTATCAGAGCACGGCGAAAAGTCGCTAGTGAAAAGGATTTCTTAGAAGCTGTAAATAAGGTCATCAAGTCCTATGCCAAGTTCAGTGCTACTCCTCGTTACATGACATACAACTGAGTCTCAAGGCTTTCACTGAAACACTTCTTTTAATTGGAATCCTAAGCTTATATAGGCTTGTTAATAACCATTTCACACAAAAAAATAAATGGTTTCAAAATTGTATACTTTTTTCAGGTTATTTTTCTTTGTAGCACAATAGAAGGTGACAGCTAATGTCATTAGGCAGAAAAGCTTATTCTAATATATGTTGACTGTTTCTTGATCCACTGCCAGTAGGGTTCCATATCAAAGTGCTTATTTAGAGCACGTGTGTTCTAAGCAGGTCGTGGCTGGGTGCTGTACATATGGTCTGTATCATCTCATCTGCCCAGTGAGGTGGATCTAATGGAGTTCGCTCTAATGAATGCAAAAACTTTCCTACCGAATTCACTTGTATTCAAGTTTGTCACTTGTGCACCTAACCATTATGCTCCCCTGCCTCGCCTCAGAATAGCCCATCTAGGCACATGACCACA